CCTTGGCCTTCCTAATAGCCCTCCTACACTCCCGGGCTGAGGAGGAGTACTCCTCCTTGGTGATAGTTCCTCCCTTCCACTGGTTGTACGCCTCCCTTTTAGTCCTCGGGCATTGCTGAATGCCCTTGCTGAGCCAAGGGGGTTTCTGAGCACTCTTACCCGCCTTGCGTCTCTCAGGGACTCTTATCCTTTGGGCCTGGAGGATCGCCCCCTTAAGGTACGGCCATCCCTCGTGGGCTCCCATCTCCTCTACCTTCTGGGCCCTTAGTGCCTCCCCCACTAGTCTCCTAGGCTCATTGAAGTTGGCCCTTCTGAAGTCAAGGGCTTTAGCCTTGGTGTAAGCCCTTGACACCCTGCGTTGTATAGTGAAATCCAGCAGGTGATGATCGCTATTGCCCAGGTGGTCAAGGGCCTGCAGTCCTCTCACCAGGTCATCTCCTGTGGCCAGGACCAGGTCCAGAAAGGCGTTACTCCTAGTGGGGCTGTGCACTTCCTGGATAAGGTGAAGGTCCTATAATACAGCCAGGAACCTACGCGAGCGGTCAGACCTGGCTGTCTGCTCCTCCCAGCAAATGTCTGGGTAGTTTAGGTCACCCATGACAATAACATCTCTTGACCTAACCACCTCCATAAGCTGTCTGGAGAAGTCGTGGTCGAGCTCTTCCCCCTGGTTGCGTGGTCTGTAGTAGACACCCACTGTAAGGTCCCTTCCCCACGCCCCCCTTGTAGTTTGACCGAAAGTGTCTCTGCCCGACCCTCCTCTAACCCGAAGCTAATCCTTGATGAAGTGAGGTGCTCTTTGGCATAGAACGCAACCTCCTGACCTTTCTTCTCTGTTCTGTCTCTTCCATATAGTGTGATATCTCTCATGTTAGCATTAATGCCTGTGGGTGAGCAGGTCCTTAATCCATGTGATAGTTTATAATGAGGACATTTTGCTTAGTTCCAAAGTTGTATGTAAACCTGAAAGTAACTAAAATCCTAAAATAAGCCCCTCAAAATCTGAAGCGGGAATTAGGACAGACTATTATTGGTGTTTCTTAGAAACAAGTTCTACATAGCTGGTTTTGAGATCCTCCATCCCCCTTTCCTCAGTTCGTAGTTGCTTTATTTTGATTCAGTGACATGTTATTAGGGTTAGTGGTAACTGCCTTTTCACATGCCCTGAATATCCGCTAAGGTCAAACATTCCAAAAAAGGACCTTCTCTCTTTCTCCATCTCTTCCATTTAGTTCACCAAGATCTAGAGGCCTATTGTACTCACTTTTTTTTTACAGCTGTTGCTTGGCAACATGATTGTGAATAAAACTGTAATCTCTCATATAGTAAGGCTTTTAGTGTTTTGATGCTCAGGTATCATGACAGCGTGTAATTTTAGTGATTAGAAGAACATTTGGAACTGGACTTTTTTAATTAAAGGAAACCTTTAGCAGCAGTATTCTACCCCTAATGAACTTTGCCAGTGTTCAGTAGTACTTTTATGTAAGAGTGTAAAAGGCTGATGTATCGGGAGAAAAGAACAACTCTCTCTACCCTATATCATGGATGTTGGTGTTAGCTGTTGACTAGCATTGGGGAAAATTCACTGAATTTTTAGAGCCTTCTGCTACTTGTATAAAGTTATACAAGTCATGCCTTTTGATTAGGCTGTGGTGGTAAAGTGATAAATTTGTAGCAATCTCCAATTATTTTTGTCTGTTTTTGTTTTTTTGTTTTTTTTAATTAATTACATGGATTTGGCATTATGGCACTGTAGATAAAGATAATGGAGATGCTTTTGCTCTTTATGTAGTTCTTGTTTTCATGAATAGGAAAGCACTGTACAGGCATTCAGTCCCAAAATATTCCTTTGGTGAATGGCATTTTTTTTCTTTGGGGACAAATTCCTTTAAGGTATTGTCTACATAAAAAACTTATACTGATTTAGTTAAATTGGTGCAACCCTCAGATGTGAATTTCTAGTTCATTTCAATAGTGTCCACACAGCAAGTTGCAGTGACTGATTCATTCACTTGATAAGTTTGCTCAATTACTGTTATATAGGTGGCCTGAGCATGTCCAGATTAAACTGATATGTAGGGTTCCATCCAGAACTAATCCACTAAAGATTAATATAATGCATAATGTACTTTGTGCATGTCACTTCATGTTGTACCTCAGTTTCCCCATTAGTTAAATGGGAATAATAAAGTTTACTTGGCTTTTGAAATGTGTGTGCGAGTACCATATAAATGTTAATCTGATTCTTTTGACCAATTCTGCTTGGTGGTTAGGAGCTGCCAGTGTTTCACATTTCACTGATGAGGGAATTCATTTCACTGAAGATACAGGCTAAGTAACTTGGAGCTGACGTTTTGCTGCCAAGGGACAAGAGGAGAATGGAAAAAAGCCCTCTAATATGTATACCTGGGGGTTTTTTTCTTTACCCATCCCTTTATTAATGTTAAAAGGAATTTTTCCCCTGTGTCTTGATGTCGTTTCATTACTGTTTTATTTTTGTTATGCTTTTAATTGATATGACTGTTTTGCCTTACATTTCTCCTGAGAATGAGGAACAAACCTTATATCATTTTTCTTTTTTCAACAACATAATACCTGAAAGTTGTTTTTGCCCCCCTCTTCCTTTCCCCCGCACACCCCTCTACCTTTTTTAACTGAGGACTTGATTGTAGAATTCAAGCCATTTATCTGAGGTGCTGTCATGTTGTTATAAAACTGCAGGAGTTTTGAAAGATTTGAAATATTTAATAAAAAAAAATAAATCCAATCATCAGAACTACCCCTCCACTGAAACCAAACAATGAATTGTTGAAATCATGTTCTGTATAAGGTTTCTGATTGGCTGGCAGACTCTAGACTGCACAACATTCTCTTAGACTCTGTTTTGAAGATAATAAAGAATCCTGTAATGCTGCCAGAAATCCTATTGCTACTCAGTAGATTTCATGAATAGTCAACAAAGTGAGGTGGGTGGAATGAGAGCTGTTTGGCAAGGCTCCTTCAGCTGCAATCCAGACTTGGAAGGACAAGCCAGTTGTCCAGAGTCTGTCTTGGGATTTAGTTTCAGTTTGAGGGATTTAAGCATATGATTCGGGTAATCATGGTTAAATCTCTGCTGAATATTTGTGCTTAATCTTTCATTCATTTCGGAGTCCAGGTTTGGTTTTAACATGATAAAAAAATTTGTGTTCAGTTATTAACTGAAGGGTTTCTTTCCTCAGAGTTCTTTGTAGATATTAACTGGTGCATTATTTTTCTCTTAACTCTTCTGTGGCACAGGTAACTGAGCTCTCTTTTGCATATGAGGAAGCTAAAATAAGCCCTGTCTTCCTTCTTTTACTTCACATACTCCAGACTTGGAACTGTGGCAGCAAGGATGCTCCCAACCACAGAATAAATAGTTCATCCTAATTGTTCTCAGTGCCTCTCTTCTGAGTTTGGAACAGCTGGCCTAGAGCATTTTCAGCAACAGTCTTAGGAAGAGTGAGATTGGTTTGGCCCAAGACCTGTAATAATTCACTTTACCAAATAAAACTGATGAGCATCATCATTGGGCATTTGGCTCATCCCACAGTTCCAAATCTGCTTGCTAAAAGTGGCCTAGTAGAACTGGGCCTCTTACTCATTTAAAGTTTGAGAATAGGTTGAGATCAGTCTTGGGAAGAGTGTGGATTCAGTTCAGATGAGCCCATAATCACAAAGGCAGTTGGTACAAATGCAGAGCAGTGCTCAAGAGTTCGTGGATCACAGTTCTGCTTGGATCATGACACCCTTCCTCTAATAGTCAACTAATTCAACTACCCTTTGTATGGTAATGCTATTTTGTATTCATTGTTTTGACAGGAATGTGCATGGTTTGATAAAAACAATTGGGAAATTGCTACAGATGCAAGCCCTTACTGTGGGAAAAAACGGAGATGAGGCTGTTCGAAATTTGTATGCAATCAGGTGAGCTTCATGTTAATTAGTTTGTTTTTTAAATATTCTCCTTTTATAAATAATAGATTACAGATAAACATCCCCTAAGACTTTCACTGGTCCCAAATGCACCCAGTTTGTTACTGAAGCTAAAGGAGAGCTTATACTACTACCTAATCAGTAGTAATAGTTCTATTTGCATCCTCTAGCTGAGGTTTCAGCATTCACTCAGATCTTTAAATAACACGATTCCCTTCCTTTTTGTAGGGGAAAAACCAAAGTAGAGGTCCTGGATTAATATATGCACAGTAATTGTTGATACAATAGGAAGTATATAGAGGAGGTATAAGATGCTCTGGAGAGAACCCTGGGGTGGAAGGGGAACCCTTTTTAACCCACTAGTTGGGGTACAGGCTTGGAAGGGATATTGAGGGGTGGTGGAGGGATATCCTTTTGGGGGTTAAACGGGAGTGGGTGGGTAAGGAGTGGGGGAAGTGGAAAGAGGTTTCTCATATCTGGGTGTAAATGGTGACAGGGAAGCATGGTTGGAATTAGCCAGTGGGCTTGCATATGTGAAGCAGCAGTTGCGGGGGTGGGGAGGGGAGTTGGTGGTCTCAAGTTTTGGGGTGTTATTTAGGAAATCCTGTTTGTGGGTTGTATGTTTATTGTAAGCCCCTCTGAGCCTTTTGGATAAGCAAGATATATACATCTAAATAAATGAACAATAGTCAATAAGTGGTATGAGAGTAAGAAGACATTATTTGCTGAGTGCTTTCAGAATTAGAGATTTTCAAGACACCTGAAACATGGTGTCTCAGTAATAATGAAGTAAGTATAAGGGCTATTTATATAAATGCATAGTTTGCTTAACTGCATAACACAATGGCAATGCCAATTTGGTACTTAATGCTTACATTGGTTAATTATGTATTGGTTAAGTGTATTCACTGCTTAAGTGCCTAGCCTATTTCAACCCAACTGTCTTTGAAATGTAATTGCACTCTGGTTAACTGCATAGCAATGGTGGTGGGAAAGTAGCTGTAAAAGGCTGTTTTTAGAAAAGGAAACTTATTTTCAAGGCTTCAGGGGTGTAATTAAAAGCCTTGAAGAGTATGGGAAGTAGCCTATTTGAAGGCTGCCGTTTGAAAATGAGGGGACACAGCAGCCCCAAAAATGTCTAGTTCCCATAATTTTTAAGGCTTCTTATGGTAGCCCAGAAACTCATTAATAGATTACAGGGGAAACTGACTAGTTGACAATTACAGGAGCTAATGGGAGTACCATGTACTCAGCTGAGTATTGTTTATGTTGTACTGGAAAAATTCACGCTCCAGGTAAAGGCATACTTTCTTCAGTCCAATTACTATGAACTTAAATGTAGTACACTGTAACAGTTTACATTTACAGAACCCCTCTGATCCCCAAAGCCCTCCACTAGTTCTGCCTCTTGGGCAAATGAAAATTTGCATTCTTGTCAACACGTGATGGTTTTAGCATGAGGAATGAAAAATATTGAAAAACAAGTAATGTTACCAGCAAGTCTAAGCAGTTGCCAGAATATAACTGCCTGATTGATGTTAAACCAGGGTCCTTATTCCAGTTGTAGAACTATTTCACGGTCTTTGTTATGTCTTTTAAAGACCTGAGTGGGCTGGGTCTGAAATATATATCAGTTTGTCCATCTTTTGGTCGTGTGCCGTGACAGGTACATCCAGTGGGGATGGTGAAGCTGAGACCAATTTTAGGAAAGCCCCAAGTAATTAGAGGAAGTCATTTTTTGGTGGAAGGTCTTATGCCATGGATTATGCTACAATTAGAAATCTGAAGCCAAATCTTGCTACTTTTGGGAGAGATGGATAGGCTTTCCTTTTGCTTTGTGTAGACTTTCTCTTATAGACTTGGATTGTGGCTAGCTAGGCTATGTGCTCTTTTGAAGGCAACCAGCAAATAGATCACATCAGTCACAGTAAGAACCAAGACAGCAGTGAGGAATTCAGTCCTAATTTTTAAATAAATTGCATCTCAGTTGTATGAAGTGATAGGTTCTTTAACAGTGCTCGGCTGAATAAAAACTAGGTTGTCTCCCCTCCTCCCCCATTCACAATCATAGAATCAGTGGATGGAAAGGGACCTGGAAGATCACCAAGTCCAGTCCTCTGCCGTAGGCATGAGGTTAATGAGCTCAAAGTAGCTCAATGAGGTGCTTATGCAGCCTCCTTTTGAACACCTCCAAGTATGGTGACTGCACCACCTCTGTTGGGAGTGTGTTCCAGGTTTTAGTTAACTATACGGAGAAGTTGTTCCTTATGTCCAGTCTAAATCTTCCCTTTGTTAGTTTGTGTCCATTGGTCCTCATCCTCCCAAAGGATGCCTTCCTGAAGAGTTGCTTCCCCAGATCTTGGTACTTCCCCATGACGTACTTGTAGGCGGCGATCAAGTCACCTCTCAGCCTCCTCTTACTCAGACTGAACAAGCCTAGTTCCCAGAGTCTCTTCTTATATGGCCTTTTCTCCAGGTCCCTGATCATGCAGGTGACCTTTCTCTGCACCCTCTGGAGCTTATCCATATCCTTCTTGAAGTGTGATACCCAAAACTGGGCACAGTACTCCAGCTGCAGCCTCACCAGTGCTAGTAGAGAGGGAGAAGCCCCTCTCTGGATCTGTTGGCAACACATTAGCTGATATCTGCCAGAGTTCTGTTTGACCTGCTGGTGACTTCATCACACTGTTGACTCATTCATCTTCTGGTAGATTGTGACCCCCCAGGTCCTGTTCAGATGTGCCAATGAGTGGTCTTCCACCTATCCTATAGTTATGGTGAAGGTTCTTCCTACCCAGATGGAGGACCCAGTACTTTTCCTTGTTGAACCTCATCTGATTCTGATCAGCGTATAGAACCAGTCTGTTTAGGTGTCCTGGATCCTTACCGTATCCTCTGGTGTGCCCGCATTTCCCATAGAGCATTCCACCCATTCATCCAAGTCATTAATAAATGTTAAAAAGCATGGGTCCAAGCACCAATCCCTGTGGGACACCACCAGAGACAGCCCTCCAGAACGAGGCAGGCTCATTGACTACAACGCTCTGGGGTTGGCTTCTAAGCCAACCCACCTCACCATAGGCTGATCTAGGCCAGTACCCTCCAATTTAATTGAGAGAATTTCGTGGGAGACCGAGTCAAAGGCCTTACTGAAGTCTAGGTAAATGATGCCTACTTCATGTCCCTTGTCCAGCTGGTTAGTTGCCTGGTCGTAAAAGGGCACTAGGTTTGTTAGGCATGATCTACCCTCCACAAAGCCAGGATAGTTGCTTCTTAATACCCTGTCAGTTACAAGCTTGTAATTGATGGCCTACTTAACAATTTTTTCAAAAGTATTTCCTAGGACTGAAGTCAGACTGACTGGTTTATAGTTTGCAGGATCATCCCTCCTCCCTTTCTTAAAGATGGGTACTACATTGGCCCTTTTCCAGTCATCTGGTACCACTCCTGAGTTCTACGACTTTTTTCAAATGTTTTCGCCAAAGGACCTGCAGTGAGTTCAGCCAGTTCTTTAAGGACTCTTGGATGTAAGTTGTTTGGCCCAGAGAACTTGAAAATGTCCAGTTGTTCTAAGAGGACCCTTGCTTAGTCGGGGCTGATTTTATATTGACTGTTGACTTCCCCATATTCCCTGGGCCTGTGGACAGGTGCATAGTTCCTGTTAGCTTTCTGGAATACCAATGTGAAGTAACCATTTAGGACCTCCACCTTTTCATGGGGATCTATTGTGGGCTGCCTCTCTGTATTCAGTAGGGGTCCCACATTGGAGCTCGATGTATTTATTTTCCCAGCTCTCCATGTACGTGTAGAAGGACTTTTTGTTGTCCTTAATTTCGGATGCTAGCTTGATCTCCATGCCTGGTTTGGCTTTCCGTATCTCATACCTGCAGACCCTGGTTATATGAGTGAACTCTTCTCAGGGTGCTGATCCTTTTTTCCGTTGCCTATATGTGTCCTTTTTCTTTTTCAAAAGTTCTCTAATATCCCTGTTGAGCCAAGGAGTCTCTTGGCTCCTTTCCCTCTTTTTGATCTCATGGAAATGGCCTCTTTTTGAGCAGAGAGGACAGCTCTCTTGAGGAGGCACCATTGTTCCTGAGCCCCCAAATCCTTCAGTTGGTGGTTGCAGAGGGCCTTTTTAACAAGACTTCTTAGTTTGTTAAAGTCTTCCCTTCTGAAATTGAGGACCTCTGTTCTACTAGTTGAAATCCTAGCCTTCCGGTGGATGGTGAACCTAATCAGATCATGGTCACTGTCACCCAGGGTACCACCAATCTTCAGGTCCCCTACCATGCCCTCCCGTTTGGTAAGCACAAAGTACAGAGTGGTTTCCCCCCTAGTTGGTCCTTTGACAACCTGTGATAGAAACAGGTCATCAGTACTTACCAAGAAATTGGCTGACCTGCTGAAGCTGGCCCAATGATCCCCCACAACAGATGTCAGGGTAGTTGAAGTCACCCATGACAGTGAGGTCTTTAGTGCTGGCTGCATCAGCCAGTTCCCTTGAGAATGCCTGATTGTTCTCCTCTTTTTGGGAGGGAGGCCTGTAGTAGACTCCCACCATCAGGTCTCCCTCTCCTGAACCCTCGTGTATCTTGACCCAGAGGGTCTCAAGGGACCTCTCCCTGCTATCAGACCTGACCTACAGGGAGGGGTACCGCTGTTTCACATAGCGGGCTACCCCTCCTTGTTTCTTCCCAATGTGATCCTTCCTGTAGAGCCTATAGCTATCAGTATCCACTGCCCAATCATGCGTGTCATCCCACCAGGTCTCCATCAATCATATGAGGTTAAATTCCTCATCTATCAGGAGAGCCAGTTCCTTCTGTTTGTTGTCCATGGTTCTGGCGTTCGCATAAAGGCACCTGAGTTCCCCTCTGGTCGTCTCAGGTTTTCTGTCACCTATACAAGCATCTTGGGGTGTTGGTGCTCATCTGGGTGGCCTCTACATCGATGCCCTCTCCTGGGTCACAATCCCAAACCTCTGTCAGAAA